AACAACAGTTACAACAACAGAACGATAAAGGTAGACACCAGGGCACTTAAGATGCAAGGCCCACGGGGGTGTGATACGAAGTTTAAAGGTAGACCAACCCTCCCTTCCCCGCCAGGTGCTAAAGAAACATTGCTCCCAAGCAGCTCGGGTAGGCCCTGATCCCTAGGGCAGGGCAGAAGGCAGCTACACTAGGGTTGCCAACCTCCAGGTGAGGGCTGGAGATCTCCTGGGATTGCAACTCCTCTCCAGCCTACAGTTGACCTGGAGAAAATGGCTGCCATGGAAGGTGGACTCCACAGTGTCCCACCCTGCTGAGGTCCCTCCCCTCCCCAAACTTCACCAGCTCCACCAGCTCCATGCCCAAATCTCCAGGAATCTCCTCACCTGGAGCTGGCAGTCCTTTGAGCCAGCTCTAGAGATGGGTTTCCTGGGTTCTGTAGCCGGAGCCTGGAGTGGATCGGGTGACAGGAGCTGCCCCGTTTCCCAGGCAGAAGCGACAGGCAGCCAGTCTCCTGGGACTGAGGTCAGGCCTGGCCAACTGGAAGGCTTTGTGCGGCCTGCCGCTTGCCAGAGCTGAAGTCCCACACCCCTGTCTGTTTCTGCACCTTTGGGGGGTGGGTGGGTAGGGGAATAGGGACAACAACAACAACAACAACAACAGTTTCGTGCTGTTCAACATGCAACGTATATCCCATTTTTGGAAGCCAAAGAGGCAGGCAGGGTCAGAGCAGGATGCTCCCTGGTCCCGTTGCTCCTCCCCCCTCAGCCCATTCTCTCAGCCGAGGGCCTTCCAGCACCAGAGCCCACCTGGAGGTGAGGAGCCACAGGGAGGGGCTTCCTGCTTTCCCCTCAGGCCCCCACCCCCCTCTTTCCGTGCCCTGGGAGCAGCTCTGTGTTTAAGCACCACTGCTCCTAGGGCAGCATCCGGCCCTTGAGGCTCTTCCTCCAGTCCCTAGTAAGTTCAACATGGTTGTCTTCAATGCACCACCTTAGAAGAGGACCCACTTCGAAAGCATCTTTTCTTTCAATCTGGTGAAGTTCCTAGTTGGTGGCGAATCTGGCCCCGAACGTTCTGGCACTAGGAGAGCAAGGCCAGCCTTTAGACCAACATGGATCCAGCTGTGGATCCAGCTGTTCAGACAAGTTTTTTAGCACTGTACATTTTTTGATATGCCCAGGAAATAAACAAAAAAAAGGCATGTGGGGGTAGGGAGGGAGAGAGAGGGAGATGGCTGTTCTGCAGGGGGGGGAACCTCCCCCCCTCATCCCTTGGACACCTTGTCCAAGCAGGGTCATGGATATTCTTCACCTCTAAATCTTGATTTAGGTTAGGGGCCCCCCAACAATTCTGAGCCTGTGGGCACCACTGGCATTCTGACACAGCATGATGGGTGTAGCCACAAAATGCCAGCCTTCCTTCAGTCACATGTTGAAGATCTCTCGGCTGTGGTGGCAGCTGTTGCCAAAGGGACATTTTTTAAAATCTGCACACAGCAGATCTCCAAGGGCCAATCAGAAGCCTTGCTGGGCAACCCCACCCCCCCTTTCTAAGAGCACATGGTGGGCATCAGGAAAGGTGTCAGTGCCCAGAGGCACCACGTTGGGGACCCCTTCTTTAGGCCACCTCAGTGGCAGCTTACAAAGATGCTGCCGTCCTGATCCTAAAAATGTCGTTGGCTTTAGCAGAATGTTCCCTCCAAATTCCCAAGTAGCAGCCTCCAAATGCACCTGGCTTTCCCTGAAATCAGATGGTTGCTCCTGTTTTTGCCAAATGCGAATGGGGGGGGGGGCTTGGTCTCAGGAATGCTTCCCCCTTCCTGCCACCCATCTCCATCTCCTTTGCTGCAAGCTCTTTAACCCACAAAACAGTTTTCTGCAGAACCAAAGATGGCTTTGTCCCCTAAACGCTGTGGGGAATCAGCCGCAACAAACCTGGGCAAACGTCCCGCTTCTGAACATCTGGGCTTGATGGAGAACAGCTTGGTCTGCTAAATATCTCCCTGGCAGGGGAACAAGAGAACCTGCAGTCGCTGTACAAGCCAGGCATGCAGATGGAGATGGCAGCCCTACTTTAAAACCTCTTTGGCAATCCTGTCCCCCCCCCCCCAATTGTACGCTGCAAGAATGCAAGAGGGTCCATTGCGCGAAGAGGCAATTCTTGA